GGGAAGGTGTTAGCACCCTTTCTATCCATGGTTATCCATGGGCTCTTAGATACTTGCTCATTGTGTTTTCAAAATGTTTGTTTGCTTTTCAAGTGTGAGTGGGTTTGAAAAAAGTTTCTTTAAAAGTTTCAGATCGACTCTTGTATCAGTCCTCAAGAGTGTTTGAAAAGTTGTTTTGAAAGCTTTTTGAAAAGTGTAAGGTGTGAAAAGTATTTTGATTGTTTTTGAAAAGAGCAAGTATCTATGAGAATCTACCTACCCTAAGGAATTCGTCTGTGTAAATATCCTTTAAAGTAATGCCATCCCACCATTGAGAGGTAGGTAGCACCACCGTTGGAGGTGTTCGGGTCAATTCGAGGTTCGGGACATGATGATCACCAGAGCAATGGGAAGACACCTTAGAAGCTACCCTCATTCCAGGTTCCCGGATCATGAGGACTTACTAAGACATCCTCTACTCGACGATCGCCTTTCGAGGCAAGGCAACAGTGAGGCGTACCCTAGGGGTGGTGTGTGATTTGTGTGTCATTTTCAGTTTATTGTTTGTCTTGTCATGTATTGGTGATATACGCTTTGATTTTATTTTTGGGCATTCATTCTTTCATGTTATTGTTTAACAGTTAAAGGTGCAGGAATTTAAAGTGCGGAAAAGATAAAGGTCCTACGCTATTACAATGGCGCGGGTCTACAACGCCAAATTAATCCAGACCCGATTTAAAATAAAGTGCAGAAAATAAAAGCCTAATTAACTATTACAGGGCTTTGGAACAAGTACATTATATTTACATCAAAGAAATAAATAAAACGCGCGAAAAGAGAATATAATTGAATGCGAGGGCGTTGAACCCTTTGAAGGAATTAAAATAAAATTAATAGAATAATTAAATTAAATAAAAAGAAAGAACTTGTTTTTTATGTTTTTGTATTTATGACATTAAAGAAAATTAAATTAATTAAAAGTCAAATAATTAATTCTAATTCTAATTGTTTTTAGTTTATTAAAGAAAATGCATTAAAGTTAAAACCTAGAATTAAAACTAAATTAATTATAAAATTTATTTACAAAATTAATGGTTGATGAAAAAATATTTAATTAATTAAAAAAAGGGTAAAAAAGTGTTAAAGATCTATTTTTATTATCTTTGGTTTATTGTGAAAAAAGGAATTAAATTAACAACCTAAAATTAGAACTAAATTTATTAAGGGATTTATTTACAAAATTAATACTAAAAATAAAATATTTATTATTTTTATTTTTTCTGATTTTTTGTGTTTTTTATATTTTGAAAATATTAAATTAAAGCATTTAAAAAAAAAATCAAAACAAAGAAAAGAGAAGAATATATAAAAAAAGGTTAAAAAGAAAGCAAACTAGAGGGGTGCAGCCCAAGTAATTCTGGCCCATTAGCATGGTTCGTTTGACTTTTCCAGGCAAGGTGCTGGAGCGTTGACCTGGACTACCATGTGCCTTGGATCTGGACCTTTGATTTGATCACCCTGACTTTGTGAATGGTTTGATTTTGAGTGTGTATCGTATGCCTCATCATGGATCCTGTATGGGAAGATCAATTGAAAAAATATATTGAGAATACTGAAGACCTGGGGCTCGAACCCAGGTCTTGGACGTTAACACGCACATGCTTTGCCAGTTGTGCCACTTTGCTTATTTGTAAATAATATAAACAAAGAATATAATGAAACAAAACGCGTGGATACTTGGCTTTCCGCGCGAAAATTCAAACAGGCCAATTGCTCCTTGCCACCTAATCATCTCCTTCGCTTGGCTTCTTTTATTCCTGAAACATGTAAAACAATGGCAACGGTTTTCACGCGTTGCTACAGGTATGATACAAAAAAATAGCGAACAGGCCACAAGGCCTCATAAATTAGGCGCGACATATGGTTCCTCTTCGTCTGAGTGTGCCTGATGCAATGGTGCTAGTCGCGTGTCCTAATTTTGCAGAGATAAGAAACGCCTAATTTGAGAACCTGAAAACCCTAAGCATCTCTAATGGCAAATCCTTATATAAGACATGAAAACAAAATTAAACCATATAGGTAGCATCAGAATTGCATAAATAATGTAAATTACATATCAAAAAGTGCAAAAAGTGCATGAATGGAGATGCAAGAGTATGAATATTTTTTGGTACAGGGCCTGTTCGTGTTACCAATTCTGGGCGTTTTGATGAGAGTTCTTGATTGGGATACGTCCTATAATGCTTGAGGAAGCTAATGAGATAGGTTTTGAGGCTTGAATCGATCTCTAAGTGAGTTTTCAGAATTCAAAAGTATGACCAAAATATGAGTTTTTGTTTTCAGTTTTGGGTTGCAGCTTCTGTCCAATCTTGTTGTGTATCACTTGTATATGTCTTATGCAATGTGTATGAATGAAAATTATGGCCAATAATGCCTTGCATTGATGTTTTGGATTTTCACATAAACCTCCATTATCACACCTTCCATTTTTGCCTTATTTTTGAATTCTTGCCTTATTTGCTTCTTTACACGAATTTGATATAGGCTTAATGATGTTTCAAGGCTAGTTAAGGCCAAATATTGCATTTAATCAAACTTTTTGATTTTTCCTTGATTTTAAAAGATTTAAACTTAATTAAATCCAAGAAAATCAATAAAAAATGAAAAAATTAATTAAAAAATATGAAATGAAAGGTGGGACACGTGGGAAGCATGGCCAAGTCAATTCAAGTGAAAAAAGTGGGCCCCTTTTGTCAAAAATGAGATTTCCAGGGTAAATGATTTTGGCCATTTCACAAAAATTTCCCAACTTCTCCAATGCATAGCTTGCTCAATTTTTAAGCTTTGCTCATGTTCTTGGACATTTTGGAAAGTTTTTTGAGTCCTCTAACCAATGCCTCTGGTCCCATGTCATTTTGATTTACCAATCTCAAGTTATGGCCTTTGACTTAAAGTCCCTTTTTGTTGACTTTTGAAAATGACCTATAATGTTGAAATTGATAACTTTTTGTGAGAGCATTTCTTGGACTTGAAGTATGAAGATGAGTTGTAGGAAATGTCTTTCTCTTCAAAATGAGCTTTGGATGGAATTTTTCTGATAATCCATGTGAAAGTTATGCCTTGGTCAATTTCAGTTGACTTTTTCAGCTGTCCAAATAAGGAAACTTTTGCATCTTGATGATTTCTGAGCCAAATTTTGAGAATCATGATCAAGCATTGATCAAATGATGTTTGTGGCTTCAAAATGATATGTTGACCAAAAATTTGAACTTTTGACTGCCAAATGACCATTTTGCCCCTACAGTTGACTGTAGTGCAATTTAGGATTTTGACTGTGCAATTTTGTGCTGAAAGCCTTGAAACTTGATATGAGAATGCTTGACCATATTTGTAGGCATATGAGACTTGATTGGACCTCTAAAAACTTCATTTTCTTGATCAGAACACAAACCCTAATCTTGACTGCTTAGGAGGCCTTTACACTGTGCAACCCTTGGGGAATTTTGTAGCTTGACTTGGCAATTTCTTGGAGAATATGGGAGGGCAAATTTTGGGGTACAACAGCTTTATATGGTAGAGAACCACCTGCAATTGTCAGACTACCATGCTCCAATGAGGACCCAACAGAGGTTAGGGAACAGTTAGCTAACAGAGACGTATTATTAGCTAAGCTGAAAAGCAACCTGCTACGAGCTCAACAAGTAATGAAGACTCAAGCTGACAAGAAGCGAAGCAACATGAATCTAAATGTTGGTGACGAAGTGTTGGTTAGACTGCAACCGTATAGACAACATTCAGCTGCCTTGCGAAAAAATCAAAAGTTATCTATGAGATACTTTGGACCATTTAAAGTTTTGGCCAAAATTGGCAATGTTGCTTACAAATTGGAGCTTCCCCCAGCTGCACGAATTCACCCGGTGTTTCATGTATCTCAGTTGAAACTTTTTAAGGGAGATACTCACGAACCGTATATGCCGTTGCCGCTCACAATTACAGAATTGGGACCAATGATGCAACCCATCCAGGTCCTAGCAACTCGAACTGTCATTAGAGGGACTCAACAGGTGGGACAGATTCTTGTTCAATGGGAAAATGGCTTGCAAGAGGATGCTACGTGGGAAGATCTTGATGATATCAAGGCTGGTTATCCTGACTTCAACCTTGTGGGCAAGGTTGGTTTTAAAGGGGAAGGTAATGTAACACATGGCAAGGCACGTGAGGAGCAAATACAATTAAGTGACGAGGCATTAGTGGGTGAGGAGAAGCATAATGAATTCCCTAAAAATCAAGAGCTTGGACGTGGCAAGAGAGAGAAAAGGGCTAGTGTGAAGCTAACAGAATTAGTCAGTGGATAGTTTATATATTGTTGTTAGTGGAATTAGGGAAAAGCAAGGAATGATGTGTGAACCTTCTTCCCTCTGAATTTTCTCTCTGCTCTGATTTCTTTTCACTGCACTGTACGTGCTTGTTGATTTTCCTCACTGAAATCCATCTTTTCCATCAATAATATTCTATTTTCTCTGAGCTATTTATGTTCCATTAATTCCATTCATTACATAATTGGTTTATGAAATTTTGACCGATTTTTAAATTAGTTTATAACTGGCCTTGATGATTGGATATTCATCAAATTTAAACCCTGAACACCCCCCCGGCCCCCTGGCAATCGGTAGGTTCTTTCTTTAAATTTAGTTTTAAAAAAATAAAAAATAAACCATAAGTCTAAAGTCTAAGTCCTAAGACAGCTTGATCTATGAAAGAGATAAAAACATAAGATTATTAACTTAACCTTGCTACTTCACAATGAAACAAACTAGTCTCATTTCTCCCACTTTAAATTTAGTTAAATAGGTTGTCCATCCATTTAGTTTTTGATTTATAGCCGATAACTACAACAAAAATGTTTCTTAATACATATTGTCACGCCAAGAACATCAGCTAAATACTCTTTCCTTAATGATAACAAAAACAAATCCCCTCAAAGCCGGTGTATCACAACATGATAAAACTACATATGCAATTTAAGCTCGCAAAGAAGAATGTGTGGATGAATCAGACTTTTCAGCTAGATAATGCTCAAGCATATCATCTTCGTCATCTGCCACAAAACAGATAAAGCATGTGTTTTATTATTATGCATAAACTTTCTAGATAAATAACATACAATTGGGCATATAGAGATAGAGAGCTTAAGACCTTCGAAATCCTCATCCTCATCAAAGTCAATATCCTCCTCATCATCCTCATCCAATTCCTCGATGACAACAGCTGCACCTTTCTGTAAACAAACAAATATCATATCTATTATATATCCAAAACAATAACAAAACCTTTTACACACTAGGCTAACTTGTATCATTGCTAATCTCTTAAAATTTAAGAGAGAATTATGAAAGTATCATTGCTAATCTCTTAAAATTTAAGAGAGAATTATAAAAGGTACTAGTAATAGATATGTGTTGGACCTTTCATAAGTGGTTATTTGAGTGGGGTGAGAACCCAGCATCTCTAACTTTGGTTTCTCACTGTATGTATGTATTATATCGCTTATTGGAAGTAATTATTTCTCAATAAAAGTCACTTGTTATTCCTTACAATTATTATTAGGAAGAGAAACTGGCAGGCGTTAAATACTGAGGTCGTGTTCGCCAACAGTAACGCTGGAATAATTGAAATCATCAATAAGTTAATTGGCGCACGTTCTAGCTTGCATTTATTTGGCATTTTAAGCTGGAATATTGGGACGTCTTACCTATACCCTACAAAGAAGAGCAGCCAATCGAAACAGAGTTGCAGAGGACTCAAGATTCACGCGATCTACAACATGGGACTGATGAAGGAACACAAGTTCTAATTGAGACCTTAAAAGAGAAGGATAGTGATGGAAAAGAAACAAAGAGTTCATTGGAGAACCGAAAACATACAAAAGAAGAGAGGTTGAAGATCATAAGAGAAAGTTCAGAGATCGAAAGGAAAACGAAGGTTCTAAAGGAAGAAGAGGTCGAGAGTGCAGAAAATATGAAGCAGAAGTCCCTCCCTGTGGGGCACCATAGTGTTCACTGAACTGCCATTGCATTGCAGAGTCCATTCTCTACCATCGTCCTAGGCTCTTGTCTCTGAAATGCTGACAACTGTTGTGAGGGTGTGAGGTAATTTGATGGACACAAGGCCCACTACTGCCATTCTTTGTTTTTTGACCAAAAATCCCACCCAAAACAGAGTTAATGATTCAGGAAAAGTTCTCATGTTTACACCTTGCTTTGTCACTATTTCTAACTACAGGACTCCGGTGAACACTAATGTAATTCTTCACCCTAATGATAAGGTGAAACTTTAGGAAAGAGGGTATTGTTAAACCTCACATTAAGAGACACTAATAGGTGGGGCCGAGAATATTAAAAATATCATTAGTCAGTTGGTTGCAGTTGTGTTTTATAAATTTAGCAAGTGGCAGTTATAATTTTTATTAATCATGTTGTCAGTTGTGTGTTTGTATTAAGAATAAATAGGGAAAGGGCCAGGCATAGTGAATTATCTAGAAGATATTGAGTGGTAATTAGGTGGGAGAGGCCAAGCTCTCGAAAACCTGGAAAGATACCATGTTCTATGCCAGATCTCATCCTGGTTGTAAGCTGATTTCCAGAATCATTATCAGTAAAGCATATGTATTGATGGATTGATATATGTTTGGTACCAGGTTCTACTAACTAGTATGCAACAATACCAGAAAAATCGATGGTTTTGATAAGGTTAACGAAACCACATATTGAGGCTTCAAAGCACGGTTTGAAAGAGTTGTTTGCCATCAGACAGATGCTGGATTAGAATATGGAAGAACACGGGGTGAGCTTGACAATGCAGAGACGGTTACAAAGCTTGGCTGAAAGGTGTAATTCCTATGAGCATAAATCCGAATGACAACGTAGAGGAAGGGCAGTGTGGTACTGGGCATAAATGTGATTTCAGAAACGATGAAGAAATGTGGAGGAAATTGAAAATTCCATAATTTGAAGCCACTTGGAACGGTTGCAACTATTATGGAGTTAGTGGCTGAAGTTCTGGCGACTGGGTTGGCTGGAGTTAGGGACTCCTTCATTTTCCCGGAGCAATCCGCGTTCATTAAGGGTAGATAGTTCATGGATGATGTGGTGGCTTTGAATGAGGTGCTTGATTTAGCTAGAGTCTCCAAACGTGAATGCTTTATGTTTAAAGTGGACTTTGAGAAGGCTTTCGACTCGGTTAGTTGGTCTCGCTTCTGGATTACAAGTTGGTTAGGTTTGGGTTTGTTGCAAGGTGGAGGGCTTGGATTAGAGCTTGTGTCTTCTCGGGTAGTCTCTCTGTTTTGGTTAATGGTTCTCCGACGAAAGAGATTAATATCCAGAAGGGGCTTAAGCAAGGGGACCCCCTGGATCCTTTCCTCTTCCTGCTTGTGGTGGAGGGTCTGAGTGCCTCGATGAAGAGGGCACTCTCCCTCTTCCTGCTTGTGGTGGAGGGTCTGAGTGCCTCTATGAAGAGGGCACTCTTGCTTGGAGTGTGTATGCAGGTTTCAAAGTAGGTTTAGATGGCTTAGAAGTTTCTTATCTTCAGTTTGCGGATGACGCTGTTTTGGTTGGTGCGCCATCAGTGGATAATCTGTTGTCTGTTAAGGCCATCCTTAGGAGCTTTGAGCTAGCTTCAGCGCTGGAGGTTAATTTTGCTAAGAGTTGTATCTTGGGGGTGAATGTGGGCAGGGAGTTCTTGGACCTGGCAAAGGGTTTTTTGCACTGCAAATCTGATAATTTTCCCTTCAAGTATTTGGGGCTCCCTGTTGGAGCTAATCCTAGGAGTGTTCAGACATGGGATCCCCTTGTTAAGGCTGTGTCTAAGAGACTTGACTCTGGAGGAACAGGTTTGTGAGTCTAGGTGGGAGGGCTGTCCTGCTAAATTCGGTTTTGAATGCTCTTCCAATCTTCTTTTCTCTTTTATGAAGATGTAGGAATATGTTAGTTGGATTGCAAAGGAGATTTCTTTGGGAGGGCAGATTAGGTGTTACGAATTTAAGGTTGGCTAACCTGACTCTGTTAGGTAAGTGGAGATGGAGGTTGCTCGAGGATAGGGAGTCTTTGTGGAAGGACATTGTTTTTGCTAGGTAAGGGAATCAAGTAGGTGGTCCTCAGGGAGGTGGTCCGGTGCAGATCTTGAGGAAGGCCTCTCCCTGGTGGAGAGGGGTTTCCCTCCTTGGGTCTACATCTGACCAGCCTCCGAACTGGTTCGCCTCTTCCTGCACTAAAGTTGTAGGGGATGGTATGAGAACTAAATTCTGGCAAGATGTTTGGGTGGGTATGGTTCCGCTGTGTTTTTCTTTATTGGTGTTGTTCCGTTTTTCTGAGCAAAAGGATCTAGTGGTAGGGTTGATGGGTCGTTGGGAAGGGAATTATTGGTTTTGGGATTTTAGGTGGAGGCGTCTCCTCCGGGTCTGGGAAGAAGAGCTCCTTGGGGAGTTTTAAAGGTTCATCTTTGGGGCAGTTAAGCAAGGTCTGGAGGATGCCTGGCAATGGCTTCCTGACCCGTTGAAAGGTTTTTCTGTGAGGACTGCTTATTCTAGACTTTCCTCTTTGGAGACAAGTGTGGGTAGTAGGTTGGCTTGAGTGCTCTATGGGTTGGTGAGGATTTGGAAGAGATGAACGGCTTCTAAAGTGGTGGTTTTTTCTTGGCAATTACTTCAAGATAGGTTGCAAACTAGGGAGAACCTTGCTAAGCGTCAGATTATTTCTGCTGCTAACGGGTTTGGGTGTGAAATTTGTTTAAATCAGGTTGAGTTTGTGAACCATTTGTTTGTTTTGTGTGAGGTGGCCTCCTCGAGTTGGTATAAGGTCCTTAGTTGAATAGGTTTGCCTTTACCTCTCCCGAGGTCGATTCTTGGGGTGTTTGAGGTTTTTCAAGGTTTTGGGTTAGGTAAGAAGACTCGTTTAAGTCTACTGTCGATTTGACAGTGGTCTGGATAATTTGAAAAATGCGTAATAAAGTTATTTTTGGTAAGGAGATCTTGTCAGTAAATCACTGGGTGACTTTGATTATCAGGTTGACTTGAAAGTGGGTTCATTCTCATACTCAGGTTTCTGCTTTCTCCCTGTTAGAGTGGGAGCGTGACCCGCTTTGGTGCCTTCAACTTTAGAGGTGCGCTGGATGGCCAACTTTAGGGTTTAGGGTCTCAAACCCGGATAAAAGGAGAGGATTGTGTTTGTCGAATCTCTATGACATGGATCAATTACGTAATAATATGAATGGTCTTGTATTACAACTTCCTCTGTTTTGAGAAACATTCTCCATAGGTTAAAGTAATAAACTTAGTTTGTCCCTCAATTTTCTGAATCAAAGATAACAGTTTCTATTTTGTCAAAAAAAAAAAAAGATACCAGTTTCTATGAACATGATATTTGAGAAATAGGAAAACACTAATCTAGAGTGTGGTTAATTAAGTTATTAAGTGTTAAGTGAGACAGATCCTACCAAATTCAAAAGCTAGGACACATTTTGACAAGTGAACCAATGGTTTAATTTTGATATTTTTCTAGCTTGCAGGTGACATGTCGTTCCTAATAATCATCTCAATTGTTAATATCTCATTTTGGAGGCACCGTGAAATTTTTTTTACGACTATAAATTAACTCAATGTTCGACACATATTTTAGTCACGGGTAGCAAATTATATAATATAAATTTGTAACATAGAAAATGTCAAATTAAGACATTAAGGTACAAATAGTAAGGACAGAAAAATACCATCCTTCCGCTCTCAAACCACTGTCTACCACTAAGTTTCTTTTCCTTTGGAGTAGCAAGCACGGACTCTGGCATTAGCCTGCAATCATGACAAATTGGTTCAGCATCAGAGGGAAAGTTGATAAGCTCTACAGTCAAATTGCAATATAGATGACAAAGCTGGCTTCTTAACACATACTTTCATGAAAACATCTCTCACTTGTTAAAAACACAAGAACTTGGGTTGGAGATTATAGTAATCCTTTTAAATATCACTGACTGAGTTCGATTATTTGCTGAGAATGCAACTTACAAATTTACAAACTCTAACCCATTTTCTTTTCAGTTCTATCTGACATGTGTAAGCCCTTAAAATCCCTGGCCTTACTGATAATCAAGTGTCACAAATGCTTTGTATTTAAAAACTTGAGAAATAAAGAGATTTAGAAATGTATGCCATACAACAAGAGCAGCTATAAGAGGCTTACTTGGCTCGTTCAAGTGCTAGTTCAGCTTCAAACCTTTCCCTCCATGCCAAAAATGTTTCAACAGTAACTGGTTCTCCATGGGGTATCACTATCTAAGAATATTGAAGGATAAAAATGTGTTAGCCAGCTTTATCTATTTAACTTTTCAGACTTAAATGTGAAAAATCATTAAAAAAAATATTACAGAGGAAAACATATCTTCATTTTAAATTTTCTCCAGGTAAGAATTATAAAAGGCATAAAAAATTAATATTACCGCTATTACTAATATCCCGAGCTATAGAATTATACTTTGAAACATACAAGTAGACATATAAAAATGATGCGCGTCTATCATGTCTGATAAAATGGATAAATTTTGTACGCACCACCCAGCTCCAGAGGATTACACCCATTTGAGATGCAATCCAACCACCGAACACCCCTAACCACACCTTACACATATTATGATATTATCTGCTGATCAAGTCTTTGTTAAAGGTAGCAGTCAGCGTAGTTTTTGAAAACAAAGTTGGATTGAACACAGGTATGCAAATATACGAGCAAAAAATATTACTTCCATTGACCAAAGCATAAAATCTAGACAGGCCAAGGGGCAACCATCGTAGAGATGACGTAACTTTCAGTATCAGTAATCTCGCTAGTATTACTCAGTACTCACTAACCAATGAGCTTTGGATATGAAGTTTAATAAGATTAAGGGACAACATTGCAGCTCCTTCTCCTAGGACTTTAACTAGTCTAGGCATATCAGCTTAAGTATCTTGCCACATCAATAAACCTTAATCCTTCTAACTTGTATGTATAAGAAGTTTCCCGAGTTTTTTTATCAAAAAAAAAGAGGAAAAAACAGGTTTGTCTATACTCTTTAGTCATAAATATGGCTATACATATCGAATACCATCTGATTCCAACAGTTTTATCATGTTCATTTGTCCATGCTTTACTGCTACCCAAGAAATGCTCAGAATTCTTAAAAGAACAATTGCTTTATACTTGAAATTCAAAAGGCATTTAAATACCAAAAAAAATATATAAAAAAATACCATTATATATAGTAGATATTCTTACATCTTCTTTGGCTGCCTCCTCTGCTTCAGCAATCGCACCATCTGGGTCCTCGCCAAAACGCTCAGTCAACCACTCTTTAGCTGAGGAAACGAGTGTGTAGATCATAGCCATGCCAAGATTTTCGGATGCCTGTGGAACACAAGTTTTGCATCAAAATTTCCATAACCTGACAAGTATGCACAACAAATCTCAAGTTCCATATCCATAACAAGTAGAAACATTATATACAGAATACTCATTACAAAGTCTTTCGATTTGGATGACAACCAATGCAAGTATTATATTCAATTCAAAATGGTCATTAAGTCTTTCAATTTGGATTACAACCAGTGCAAGAATAAACAAAGATCAGTTCAGCTCAAGCAATAAGCAGAAAAACTGCATATGGTTAAAGACCGCCACCTCTTGTTGAAGTTTTTCTTTCAAAATCCTTAAATCTTCAGACGGTATTCCTTGCAAACTGTTTTGTATAGTGAAATATAACAAAAGCGTCTTAATGTTAGTAAGCAATAAATGAAACAAAAACATATGCTGCACTTGCGTAAGTTGAATACACAAACAATGATGTAAGAGTATATAAATACTGACCTGTTCACATTTAAAAGTGGAGGTTCATCGGGATATTTTTCTGTGTGTGCGAAGATCAAAGCCAGTTGAGCTGCAATAAAAAAAATCAACCATGTCATTTGTATATTAGACATCAGAAGATTTTGGTAAATAAGCTCCAAAAGTTAAGCCATATCTTAGGAAGAAAATGACTAGATATTCCAAAATATAAAGTTTCAATAAAACTGAAAGACAGGATAGAAAAGAAAATAATATATCAAAGAGGAAGAAACCTGGATTAGTAATTGACCCATCCTCTTCTTCCTCCTGTACAATTTCATAACATATATAAGGGTCGCTTTTATGCAAATGCATGTGAGGAGGAAGATGTCTCATTTGCCTTAGCACATTATATCAGTCAAAGAAAAAGCAAAAGTAATGGAAATGAAACCAACTTCTGTGTCCACTACTGTTGAACTCTAGTAAAATGTGTACAGCAAGTTACTTTTAGCCGGAAGACAACAATAATATAACTCCAAAAGATTTCAGTCAAACTCAACCACTACATACACACCGGAAGTTGTTCTATTCTTATTTTAATTTTTAAATAATGAAGATAAAAGTAAATTATACACAAGTAATCAAAACATATTAATAACAACAACATAACCCAAATATGGACTGATTTCATAGCATAAAAGCTACAAAAGACCAACAGTTGTGATTATCCATGATATAAAGCCAGTTGGAAAAATATTAAAAGAATTGCGACATTACGGAATAGTTCAAATTAGCTTATGCATCTCAATTTTTTTTAAAAAGCTGTCCCATTCAATTCAACTTCTCCATAATATCTACATTTTCATAAGAACCTTTTTCATAAGTGAAAAAGTATAACTTAATTTAACTTAGAAACTCCCATTAGATAAAAAGCCAATTCAAACTCTACCATAGACTTCGACAAAAACAACATTAGTTTTTCTTTAGTTAGGAGGGGTCAGCTGCAGCCTACATGACTACATCTTAGGCATATATATCAAAGGATGTCATTGTATTCTTCCATAAATCTATTCCTCGAATTTAATCAGGGGAAAAATATAAACACATCGGCTAGCAATTTTTCAACTAGTAAGTACTCAAGGTGGGTACATACATGATCTTTAAAAATGTAAATTTTACAAGAACTAAAAAGCTATTCAACAGAAAATGCATATTCATAAACTACATAAAGAGAAGGAAGTGAGTGACATTTTACCTGTGCAGTGACCTTAATCTGGAAGCACCTATTGGAAGTGCTTAAACCACTTTCACCCGAGTGTATTTCTATCAAACAGAAGAAAGAAAAAAAACCAAATTTCAAAATAAAAATAGCATTTTTATTCAGATAAAAATATAGTAAAATATATAAAAATACAGAAATTGGCATAACAAAACCTTTGAATTCATCCATAAGTATAGCTTCTAATGCTTCAATCTCCATTTCTTGTTCCTGCGCGTAGTCTGTGTGTGATGATGAAATCAAGTAAGGGTTAGCTAAACGGCGTCGTTTTAATGGTAAAAATGAGAATTTTGCAGCGTAAATAGAGTTGAATGAAAACAAGAGTAGAGTAGAGTGGAATAAGAGAATGGTTTACCTGTCATGGTAGATTGGTTGGATTGGATTGAGGAAAATGGGTGTGAAGTGAATAAAGTATAGGTTGAAGAAGAAGACCTAATTCACTAAAACACGCCCTTATTCCAATTCTCTCGATTTTCTTTCATCCATGAACAAATCACGCTTTAGTTAATTTTATTTTTAATAAATAGAAAAATTAATTAGATTAATTAGATTTTGAAATTAATAAATCTTACATGTCCTTTTATATCTTATAATAAATGTTTAATGTATTTTTTATATCTTAACTTAATTTAAGATTTTATTTTACTTTTTTAACAATTAAGTATTCATATTTTATTATACAACATATATTTAATAGCATACACAATATGAAAATTAAAAGAGGATACTTTGTAATCAAACTAGATTTGTCAAAAATGTACAATGATTCATGAAATCAACACTTTTCTTTTTCACTTTTTTACACTCAACATCATTTTTTATCTCTTCCACCTAAAATTCAACATTCATTCAATTTTTATTCATTGTAATGGTTTTGTTTAATAATATTCAACATTCTACCTTGCCTTTTTTATTTTTTATTTTTATTTTCTTTATGTTTTTGTTTTTGTGATTATATATTAATAACAATTATCGATTAAAATTAAATTAAAATAACTAAAAGTTAAATAATTTATTTTAATTTTTTTCTAATTTAATAACTAGTTTGAATTTTATTTTTCTAATTTTATATTTTAGTAGAATTTTTGTGTTAGGGTTATTGTTGAGATCTATTTCCTTAAAAAAATGGTTAGAGCTACAAACAAGAGGCTAAATAGAAAAATCTCGATTTTTTTGTGTCTAAATCTAATGAACTAGGTCTCTATTTATAGAGAAAAAATGATGAATTTTGGGTGAAAATAAAAATAAATAAATAATTGATTTACTATAAAATAGTTGTTTCTAAATAATTAATGTGAGATAAAAATCTAAACAATCACAATAATCATAAAAATTTGCAAAGTATTATATATAGCTCACACTCCCTCCTCATTCAACATGTTGAACGTTTTCAACATTAATTAATCCACATCATTTTCAACACATCATTGCAACCATTCAACTATTGAATAGTTTGTTCAACACCCCCATTGTAAGTGGTCTTGTGATAAGATAAGTTGGAAATTGTCATACTTCAAAATTTGTCCTCCATTTTTTTTCTTCTTATTTGCCTCATAGCTTTGGATTAATTTGCATGCATTCTTACTAATCATTCATTTTTAGTCAAGAACATCCATCTACATGTAACATTATTGGTTCAAGGGATTCATGATGTTTGGATTTCAATTGTGTAACTTGGTGTTTCAACACTTAGACTATTATGGTTTAATCACATGATTGGGTTGATTCTCTATTGTTGCTTATGGTACAAGATGTTGTGAGTTTCATTAGATGACATTGGATCAAGATCTCAATATATAGTAATCCTCATGGATTAGGGTTTTTATTGTGGAACGGGCTATTTTGGACTATTACTTGGAAAAGAAGAAAGAGCATCCTTCAGTTGACTTTTGGTCAAAGTCGACTCTGAAGGTTGACTTTTTGACAAAGTCATGACAACTTCATCAATTCCAGCTACATTCTACGACTACTTTCATTTGAGCAAAGCTACAAGACATTTTGGTTAAATATTGACTTTTGGTCAGAGTCAACCATGGAAGGTTGACTTTTTGACCAAGTCACTTTTGACTTACACCTCTGACCACTGTTGTTACATTAGCTTTTAAGATCTACATTTTCAAGTGAATCATTTGATTGGCTTGGCAAAACATGAAGATTCAAATTCAAATCAATAAATTGGAGAGAAAAGTTTCAAAGCAAGTTACAAAAAGTCAACTATAAAGTCAAGCACATCCAATTTCACTGCAAAATACACAACCCATTACATACAATACAAGGAAAAAAGAAACTACATTCAAAAAATACAAGTTTAGTCACATTTGACTTTCTGGTAATTGTTGACTTTTGGTCAAACAGTTGACCAGGGTTGACCCTAACTCTAATGTCCACCCTAGACCTATTCCTATGCTAATCTTCAAATATCCTCATCTTCATGTCCATTCATCATCATGTGACTATGCTTGCACCATGTTGTACCATTCCTTGAACCATGTTCAAATTCATGCCTAACCAGTTAGAAGACCTGCAAACAAACCAAGCATCAAAGCATACATCATGGTCATATACATTCCAAACTTGATACATACATACATACACATTCACAAAGTATCCAAACCAATTGCAATACATGTTCAATCATCAATCCATAATAACGGTACACATACATCCAAAATAGCTCATGCAGTCCATACAAGCTTAGTTCACTAATTCATTATCATATCATAATAATACCAAAGCAAGTCAAACATTCATTCAAATGCAGTACATTCCAAAAACCAAGTGTAGATCCAAAACAAAGTATTGATAGTATGCATACATCTACATGCAAATGTTAAAGTCCATACCAATGCTACAATTACAATACATCATATGCAAGCATGCCAGGGCAGACCCATTTCTAAGTAAGTCCATTATTACAAACAGTTCAACACACCATGTCAAGTGCAATACATCAAAATGGTTATCGCATAACATAAACCATCAATATGCACACCAATATGACAGGTTATACACAACATACATACTGTGCATCATTCTATTAAGTCTACATCAATAATGTTAGTACTATAGTTTTGGGATTGGCAAAAAAATTGCTAAAACATGGTTCACAACAAATATGTTATCAAAGATCTTCTAACATGTTGGACAGGTTCATTGAAGAAAAACGTTTTATCAGATGTTGTGACATTTTGTACCAGAACATGTACAGGTTGTTTTAAATCTTGACATATTTGATTTGATTATGTGATATTCCGTTTGGATATATATTAGTAAATTTCGTAGGTCAATAAAATTTAATCTGGAACGAGTTTTGTATCTCCAACTGTACACAAGTTTCCAAAATCGGGTCTTGAGACAATTTAGGAAACTTGTTATTATATTCCAAGATTTAAGGATATTTTACTGCACAATTGGTGAATCACTCGTTTGTGGATCAAGAAATATCTGGATGCAGATTTTGAAGCCTGTGAACTGTAGAGGTGCATATAAATAGAAGACCTAACCTAATGTAATTTAAGTTTTTCGTAATTTGTAAATTAGGGGAAGCATAAGTATTAGGTTTTGAGAGTCTCTTGTGTAGTTGTAATTCACCCATGTATCTTTTGATACTATATGGTAGACTGATTGTTACTTGACAGTTTGTCAAGTTATTATTCTCACTCTAAAGCTTTTAAGTAAAGAGTATGGGTTTTATATTTGAAGTGTAATCTTATAAATTGGGTTGTTCTTGATACAATCACCGGGATTAGGAATGTTATATATCACTGATGTGATTTAGGAAGTGAGACGAGATTTCTCATATCTAGGAGGTTCCTAGGTAAAAGTTGCACAAGGTAGTGATTAAGTGAGAAGTTGTAAACTAGGACTGTTTAGGCTTTAAATTGATACTACTCGTAGTGGATTTCCTTCATGGTTTGGTAGCCCCCAGATGTAGGTGATGTTGCACCAAACTAGATTAACAATTCTTTGTGTTATTTATCATTCTACAATTTTATTTCAATATCACTTACAGTCTGAAAAGTCTGAAAAGTCTGTCAACAGATGTTGTAACATTTATCATGACTTCATGAACATATGTTACAATGCCAGAATTACAATTGGCATCAGAGCATACACTCTTGTTTATTGGGTGAGCTTTAGGGAGATATTTTTCTGGTATTATTTTTATTTTAGAAATCTAGAGTAATAACACTCTGGAAATCAATGGACAATAGGACTTTGAAGTTTGATAGGTTGGAAGAATCCTGATGTTTAGAAGACATAAGGGAAGAGTATGAGTTAGTTCTATGTAACTCTAAAGGTCTCAATACCATAATCAATGGAATTTATAAGTTTTTTTTCCATACTCTTAATCACTTGTATTATGGCCAAAGATACTTGATAATTTCTCAAGTCCACTCATAGAGGCACATCTAAGTGTGTTTGGGAGAAAAAAGTTCAGATGAGAGGCTAATCAAGAACAAGATACTCAGGTCTCTACTCAAAAGGTTTGACATAAAAGTTACAAGCCGGTGAAGAATAACAAGAGCATTCTTTTTGTTTCCAACTCTGTAGGAGCTTGTGCCATGGTCTTTACAGAAGGGTTTCTTATTGTTATTGTGTTTCTTGGAAGGCAATCCAACCATATTTTGAGGAAAATGGATAGAATGTTTATATCAAATATCTAGAACATCTGTATTGACATCAACAAGTCTATACTCAAGAAAAGGCTAGAGTTAGATTAAAGACCAATATGTCAAAGCATTTAGTAAAATGAGTGTGAAGGTTGTGGATCTATTTGGAGAAAAATGCCTTACCTATCTCAAGGAGCATCTATAACTTACAGGGTGAGGTGACTCTATTAATCCTCAAACTTGATATCATGATCAAGTCTGCAAGGATAGTTCAGTTTAGTTGGAGGAGGTTTTTTTCAAGTAGAAAGATGATTGGAATCATAAGAGAAATTGGGGTTTTCAAGCTATAACTAGCAAAGAGAAAAACTCAAGTGACTAAAGGTTGTTTTCATCAAAAGGCAAGTTGAGTCAAGGATGTCAATCTAAATATCTCAACATTGTGCTAGAAATCAAAATACTCATGATAAAGGTGGATAATTGCATTGGAGGGGTCTATTTTGTGTGAAGATGATTATAATAGGTTCTTTTGTTTTATTAGACTTCCTTGAAGATCAAACTCAGCATTGGTTAACCAAGCAATGGTTAAAACTCATGGAAGGTGTTAATTGCCTTATCTATCATACCTTTCTTAGAACTTTAACTAAGATGATTGGTACTTTGGCACTGACTATTCCAGACACTTGATTGCAATAAAAGTGTTTCTAGTGGTGTGTTTAGTCTCATTCTACCAATTGTTGCTTTTGTTGTTG